CTGATTTTTGCCGACTTTGTAAACATTGGGATCGAAAATGAGCGGTTTCTATAATCGGCTTTTTGTGAAAAAATCGCAGCTTTGCATCTGATGTACGTAGGAACTTGAAAGTTACCCACTTTTTAGAATAAATTTGCCTCTCAAATTCAGAAAGTTTTAAGAAAATCGTACTAAATCTCGACTTTAGTCAACTTTCCAAATACCGGCTGAAAAATACCTTCATTGCCGTTGTTCCAATTCTACTTGACTATTAACATACAGCAGAAATTATTCACTTTTGAGCTTTTTCATTTGATTCTTATTCACTTTTCCTTTGCAAAAACCTTTCTCGCCGTCATTCTAAGTCCGAACCGTGAATTTTGAGTAATGCAAATAAAAGGAATGATAAAACTTCTGGATCTTCTCCTAAATTGCACTTACATGGAATTACTTTATTTCACATCCAGTTTCCAGGCAGGACAAATTACACGGGTTTTCCTACGCAAGTCCTCAGGGAATTGCAGGAAAACTGAATACTTTCCAAGTTGAAAAATCGGAGCCGCAAGCCGCAGTAGGAAATGTCGATTTTACCGTTCCTTTGTGTCGGGAAATTTGACTGTAAACTGATAAAACAAGCATCTAAAGTCGCAATTTTTAAAACTTTCTTCGGGGCACTCTACAAGGCAAGAGAAAGGAGAAAAGCTCTATAGATTCCAGCTATGAACACATCACTGATAAATGATTTTACATGTAAATTTGGAAAATCTGTTTGTACTTTGATTGCTGTTCGAATCAATATAATTTTAATCAATACTAAATAACTAATATTTGCGCCTTTAATGGGATTCATACAATGCGACTGATTACAGGGTCCAATGCTGACGATGAAAAAAGCAATAGAGTTTAAAAGGAAACCAGAGTACATAGAGACGGCAAAAATCAGCTGATTAGAGCCAGTTGCTTGTTAAAATCCACTTTTACGAGCTTTAAAAGAGTCAAAGTCGGGCCTAATTAAAGGCAAGTTTCGTGCAAACTCAATTTTTTCGTTCTCCAACAGTCTCATTGAACATTGTATGTTCTGGTGGCCGGTTTGGGACTGGATTTAACCTCCTTTTATCGAAAAACCGGTGCAAATAAACCACAATTTCGCAGCATTTTACGGAACGTTTGCCCTCAGCTCTTTCATTTATTTCAGGAAAATTTAAAGCCAGCGATGAAAGAAAAAAAATTCCCCGCATGTTAGTGGATATTGGCCAAACTATCCATACGTGGATTTTCGGATAAAAATTAATTTAAAATTGCTATGAAAATTTAAAGCAAGCAAATACACAATTTAGGTTCCATATAACTTTGGGGCTGATTAAGGTCGATTCATTCCGTTTTATAGCAGCCCTGTGGCCACATTTGCATAATTCACACCGAGTGATAAATAGTAGCCTCATAAAGCCGCAAGCTTTGTTTAGATTTATATTTCGGGTTTTCGCAACAATTGACTAATTGCACAACGTTGTCTTAATGCCCGAATAAACCGCTAGAAAATCATGGAAACTATCGGGAACTTTCCGCGATTTCCATCATGTTTCAATAACTTAATAAAACCTACTTAATCGTGCGATGCTTTTATCCGGCTAAGCTTTGCAGCCAAAAAAGGCTGGCTCGTGAATAAAGCTCCACATTTTAATAAAATGGCTTTTTAATAGCCATTTACGTCAAATAAGATTTAATTTGTACAGAAATTGGCCGAAGCGCCAAGAGTTTCGTGGCTGTATGCAAAAATCGTCGACGAAACAAAACACTCTTTGCATGGGAAAGTTTCTATTAAATTCCCCGCAGTTTCCGCCTAATTAGATTAGAGGCCATCCGGAGTTTGGCCGGCGAAACTAATTTCTCTACCTTAATTTGTCGGCAAGCTGGATTATTGTGCAATAAAATTATGGAAAAATTGACAATATTTCAAGGCCTTTAGCTGCCAGATAAAAACGTTAGTAACAAGCCAGTAGGTGCTGGATGGCTTTTACGACTTCGGGCCCCCATTTTTTCACCCTTAAAGGAATTTAAACGACGTGTGTGTTCCTTTCCAAAGGGTTTTTGCACTTTATGGGCCGCTTCGCCAGGATTTTCCGGTAGTAAAACTGTGCGAACTGATTGGGAATTTACACGACTTGAAGATGGGCCAAGAGGGCCCGAAATGCCTCTTTAAGCTCGGAATATTTGGATCAAAACAGTGTTTAAAACTTACCGTTTTCTGTGTCTGCGCGAATACCAATATCTAGTAGAGACGAATTTCTGCAAAACCATGCTGCCAAGTCACTTTCCATTACATTTTCACGGTGTCTTGCCGATTTCCATAAAATTCCTGACAAGCCGCCGATTTTCGCATCGGAAAATTCAATTTTCGCGTTAAAACGTTCAAATCATTTCCAGTGAAAGATAGAAATTGAAGCTCTGATACTCCATTTACATTAATTGGTCTTTGCTGGTTAAAACATTAAGTTTTTGTCGGAAAATTCCAGTCAAGCCCACAACAGTTTGCCGGGCTCGTATTGGAGCTTTCCGAAGTATTTTCTTGTTTTTCAGCCGCACATAAAACGCCGGGATTTGTATGCGGGGAAAACGCAATTTTCCCCAAATCCACTTAAATGTTGTTTTGCTCACTGGGTGACGTGAAGCATTTGTTAAAAGTTTTAAACGATCATTCTTAAAGAGAGGAGATAAAACAGAAAAGCCTGGGCCATGCATCAAACGGCCAGATTCTTAGGGTGAGATTGGGAGGTGTTTTTTGATTATTTACAATCTGAATGGTCTATTGAATTTTTACACTTTCAGATATTAAATTTTTCGAAAAAATCAACTTTCCCCCCTGATAAAATTTTCGATCAAAAATCATAATTTTACAACCGTGTTTTTGCGCTCATTGGTTTGTTTGCGACCTCAGAAGCTCCTTAAAATGCAAATGTTGATTATTTATATCGAGAAATAAGCAGAAAATGTTGATGATTTCCAGATCCAGGGAAAAATCCAGATTTCGAAGAGACAATTGAAATTTTCTCCAGCTGTTTCAGCGATTGGAGGTTGTAATGTTTTAATAATTTCGCGTTCACTGCCAAATATTTTACTCACTTTGCAGAACGATTGGAGCGTAAAATTGGCAATAAATAATTTATTTAAAAGGTCATTGTTTGACTAAGCAAAAACATTGTGAATGTAATAACAATTCGATCAACTTGGTTTCGGCAACTTTTACTCGATGAGGAAATCGGAGAATTTACTGCTTCCATTTCGCCAAAGCCGATTAAGCAACGATTAATTTGCCGGAAAGCAAAAGTGTATGATTCTTCTTCAATAACAAAAATTTTAGCAGAAACTTGACGAAACTGGTTGAAAGAAAAACGTATAAAAAGCCGGATCCATCGGTATCTGGAAACTGAATGCAACCCAATAAACTTTTATTGAAAAAATCGTAACTTTGCATCTAAAGCCAGCAGCAAGTTGAAAGTCTCACATTCTATAAAAGACACTTGACTCTGAAAAACGTGAAACTTTCACTGAAATCGCACTAAGTTCTGATTTTTGCCAACATTGTAAACATTGGGTTAGAAA